GGATCTACTGCATTGAGTTCACTCTTCACAAGAGCACCCCTTACAGATTGCCCAGAGGCATGTCTTTTGGTTGATTCTAGTTCCTATCAAGCTGAAAGTGAAGATTAATCATCACGTGTGTCCTTCTTTTTTTCCAGAAAGCCACCCTGGAGTAGGGAGCACACCATAAACAATTTGTTGGCTGAGCTTAGAGTTAGGACTCAAGAGATGACCATGGTCTGAGTCTCAGAGGCTGGCCAGCATGCTAGATCCCTCTGCATAGGGTTTTCTGCTGGTGGTCAGCATGATTTCCACTCTCATTACTCTTGGATGAGGAAAGGGATATTAAAAATATTTATTTAAAAAAATCCTTCTTTGAAGGATTTTTAGAAACTACCCTCTGCCATTTATTAATGCATCCGTTCCTCAGAGAGTAAAATTGATTAGACTTTAAGCTTTATGTTGTGGCACCTATTATGTTACCATAAATAGAACTTAGCTGCACTTGCTGTTCCTGAGAACCTTGCATGCAGATTGTTCCTTGGAATGATTTCCTTGGCCAGGGAACTGATTGTGTGATTACAGGTCACACACAGAAGGTCACATTCATTCTGTTCCTTAGAGGTCTTGGTGGATGCTAAGTACCAATGGTAGAATTCTGCCGATTTGTGTTACATCATTCCTTTGAGACAGAGCCTCTGCAGTACCAGTGTCTTATTGTCTATTACATGGCAAGAGATAGTACAGTCTCCCAACTTCTTGCTTTCTGGTGAAATCTTGTCAGGTGGACATGTAAAGTGATTACTTTCAATACAAGGATGACCTATCAAAACAGAATTTCCAAGAAAGCCCAGCATCCACAGAGATAACAATGATAGGCGAAATGTTTGCTTTTGTATCATCTCCCCACAGTCTTATTAAAGAGTTCTTCCTCCTGACATGCTGACGTGCTGAAAACGTGCCTAAAGGCTCGTTTGTTGGCAGAAAAGAAACAAATTCTATTATTAAGTAATAAAAGTGGTCAGAAATCATGGTATAAGACTTGCAGGGAATGGAGAGAAAAGGAAATTTGTACCATTTAGTGGTTAGCAAACCATCATTAAACTCATAGTCAAAGGCTAGCCAAATAGATGGCTGATGTTTTAGATATCCCACCAAGAAGTAGGCTACATGTCCCAAGGGGGATGATTTAGAACAGAGAAGTGGCATGCTCAGATCAAATGTTCGTGAGAGACAGTCCACTGTGGGGCAATGAGAATAGATGAAGAAAGTAGGTCTTTGGAGAGGTTTGGGGAGAGAAGGCAGGTTTCAAAGACCAGAGACCCAGAGGCAATGAACAGAAGACCTGTAGCCGAAGAGCAGTCATTACCAAGTCACCTCAGACAAAGCATGACAGGCAATACCAAGACATGCAGAACAGTCCAGAGAAAAAGCTGCAGAAGGGCTGTGACTAGCAGTCAGAGTCTATGGAGCAAGGAGGACTGTGGGTGGAACCAGATACCTCTGAAGGTTGGGAAGTGAAGGCAAGGCACTGAGATCTCCTTTGACATAGTGATGCTTGCTGAGAGGAAGTCAGTGAATTTATAAATAGAGGAAGTAGGCCTCTGTGGCTTACAATTAGGATGGACAATAAAGGGAGGGGAATAGCAAGGTGATGTATTTTGCTTCTGATTTCCAGACGGTAGTGAATTGATCGTGGCAATGGTAGACAGCCAGAGAGTAAGGATGCTTTCAGAAAAAAGTAGTAGGGAGGGACCTGGTCACAGAGGAGACAGAGAAGGATGGGGTGGCAGATACATTATCATGATGTCAGAGAGGAGGTCTTTCTTTTAGACAGTAGGTCAGGACTGACAGCTATGAATTAATCACACCCAGCAGCACCATGTCCTCTGAAACAGGCAGCATGATTGAATGCAATGTTAGGAGGGCAGTGAGTGGTCAAGACACTAGGAGAACCGAATGCGTAGCGTGGTCACTGAGAGAACTGAGGCTTGAAATAGAATTGTTAAGGTGGATAGGTTTGACCAATTGGACACCATGGATTTATCAAGTCACCAACCCTACAGGCATCCAGTCTAGAGATCTGTATGGTAGGAGCTTTATTTCTTCAGACACTTATTTTGCAATGAGTGAGGAGATGTCAGTGGAGGAAGGCATCCAGGGTGCTGGCAGTATGTGATACATGTGACAAATGCCTTAGATGCATATCGAGACAGGCTTGCCCAAGGACAGGTGAGCAGGGATGGTCATCTTGCAGAGGAGCATCACCAGGAAGGACAATTGGAGTCATCTCAGCTTGCAGGTCTGAGAAGCTTTAAAAGCCAACCTAGTCTCCAAGTTCTAGCACATCTCCAGAGGGAGAATCAAAATGCTGTCTAAAATACATCTCCTTGGTGGCAGAGGCGGGAGGGTGAGAAAGGTACTTGGTGTGAAGTTTAGTAATGAATATATAAGTTCATTATTTTCTGTGTGGAGTTTGGTAATGAATACATAAGCTCATTATTTTCTGTTTTATATAACTTTATAAGAGGTTTTCATCCAAAAACTACAATGAACTGGAATTATACAACAATAAGGACTTAGAAAGGACAGAAACAGAAAGTTTTCAGAGTCTGTGTAGACAATGTCTGGAAGCCGTCTGAATCCTGTTCTGCTTTCTTTCCCTTCACCAACAGCTCAGATCACAGTGAGAGTTAGTACCAGATGGAACTTCTCGTCATTCATCTTGTTTAAAATGAGTTCCTTGTAGCAAATTGTGGTGTTGTTTGCTTCTATGGCTATTTCTGTGGCTTGCAATAGCTAGGTCTTTCACCTTTACCCTGGTCCTGTGGGTTGGACCATTCTGACTAGATCCCTGGGAAGGCTTCATATCAGTCCACAGTTGACTCATAGCAGTCTCTTGTTTTACCACATTGTTTCTGACTCAGAGTCTTTGCCATTCCTGTTTTCCTCATGACTGCCCCCTTTTCTGTTCCCTTTGACTTATCAGAATGTTGCCCCCCCCCAAAAAAATCAGATGTTAAAGAAGGCTCTCCATAACATCCCCTCGAGGCTGCATCCCACCTTTAAGATGGATCTGTTTGCTGGTCATGAGTTTTGCTACCTCAGAGCTACAGAGGTTTCTTGTTTCCTTACTCGAAAGAAAGGTAGAGGACAGGGAAGAAAACTGAAGATGTCAAATGAAAAAAAAGGACAGAGAGACATAGAAGTCAAAGGAAACTAAAAGACCCCTTGCCTGTTTCTTGGGACTGAGTGACTCCCTTCAGATAGAGGAATAGGCAGTCTCAGTGACAATAGAATAACTTGCCTAGAGGAAAGACTGACTGATCTGAAGTCAAAAGTACAACAATGAGTTTAGAGCAAGAACTCCCCAGATATTTATTGGCTTCTATGTGTCAAGTCTTTTCATATATTACCCGTTTCCCCCCCCCCCCCATTTAATCCTGTTAGCTGCATTATTGGGAAGAATTAAGAAAGAGAAACTCTCCTGCTGAAGGCTACCAGACTCAAGCCCAAAGGCAAGGCCATCCTCACTAACTCCAAAGACCCCCTTTGCCTCTTCAGTCTCTACCCTGTCATCTCCACTCTGCATCAGATACTCTCCTCTGATTTGCACACAGCCTGCCTGGTTTATAGCCGGGAAAAGCTATTTAATTTTTATTAAGAAAGAGACTCTCCAGTTTAAGGGAAGGTGTATGCGACAGTTCTATTGGCGCCTGATTGTCACCGGCCCACAATTGAGCATTACGAAGCCATCATAATTCAAAGCACTGCAGGCTGAGTAATTCACTTCATTAACAGTGCTGCCTGAATAAAACACACAACAAATTAGAAATAAACAAATGGTTGGGAGTGTGATAATACATTCGAATAGCTCAGGAGGTGCTGCTAGAGGAAGAATAGAAAGAATGAGAGGTGAGAAGGAAGAAGTGGGAAAAGAAATTATATCAAGACTCATAGTTTATTTTATCAAATGTATTACTAATGTTATTTTTGTGTGTGCATGCGCGTACATGTGTATGTATGTGTGTCTGTGTGTGTGAGTGTGTGTCCCATGCTAACACTCTGTGAAGGTCAGACAACAACTTGTGGGAATCTGTTCTTTCCACTGAGTGTTCTAAGAATTTAATCAGGTCACCAAGCTTGGAGCCATTGTGCTGGCCCTCGGTGAGATTTTTGTGATTTAGGTAACCCACACTCAATACTTTTAGGAAGCCCCTCTGAGAAATCTTGTCAAGTTAGCCATGGATCGATCCTGCTTATTTCTTTACCTGCATGCCTCCTTCTCTATCACCTCTCATGCCCAGTGGATCAAGAAGTCCTGTCTGTCTTGACTCCAAAAAAGATCTCACATCTATTGGCTTGTCTCTTTCCTGGTGGATCCAGGTAGAGTGGGTTTACACTGTGTCCAGGGGTCAGTTACTTAACACGCCTGTGTCTGTGAGATTTGCCATTTTGGAGAGTTAAACATGACTATATCCATAGAGCTCATAATGTACAAGAGTCCATTGCCGTTGTCCTGACGCTGATTTTTGGTTTGCTTGTGTTCCACCTCTGATTTTCTGAGTTCATAAAAGGAAACACGTGGGGCTCCTATATCAGAACTAGTACAACAATCAGAGGCCAGATCCACCTGTGTTCTTTATGGAGAAAACATTAATTTCCTGTGTCTCTAGGCTTCTTACCCAAGACAGCTCTTTTTTTTTTAAAGGACTATTTACATACAATTAAAAACCACTTATTATGAATACTAACATGAAAATACAAAAAAAGAAAAAATATGGAAATACAATGCCTTCAGCATGGATTTCTTTTCAGTTTGACTTTATAGTATAATTTTTAAAATTCAGATCCATCAGAGATAACAATATCAATTTTCTTTCCTAGGGAGAAATTCAATAATGGAATAAAATCCAGGGTTCATTTGGATACACCCCTTATCAATTAAATCTGATTTTTATTAATACTATCTTATATACTTTGATATTGAATCATTTTTTCCAATCTCTTTCTTGAAACAGCACATATCTGGATGAGAAGACACCCCAAATGACAGAGAAATGCAAAGACTTGCAACATAGCTTGAACTTGTTATCTAACAAAACGAGACGGTAAGTTTCGCTCTTTACATTTAGTTTTAAATATGTGTTTTGTATTCAAAGCATCCCAAAGCATATTTGAAATGATTTGGAAAATCAGGCTGGGTTCACTTCAGGCTTGATTTGACTCTGAGAACGTTCCCCTAGTTGAGGAGGATGGAGCAGGGACACAGTGCAGACCAAGGTCATGCACTGGCTGTAGGACTCAGCTTCTCTGTCCTAGATCCACATTTATTATGTTCTATGTGTTCTAGCTAAAATTTAAAGCCTGTGCACCCTTTTGAAAATTTGATGTGTGTTTGAGGCATTATCCTAGAAAAATGCTCCCTCACACAAAATTTTGCTTATGACTTCAGGTTAATGGTTTACCTCTGGCCCCAGCTGTCGTTTACCCATCACTCACTGACTGGAGTTTACAATCTCATAGTTTTCTTTCTTTTTCTTTTTTTTAATTGGATGTTTCATTTACACATGTTATCCCCTTACTCCATCCCCCCCACCCAGGAACCCCCTGTCCCCTCACCCCTTCCTGCTTCTTTGCGGATGTACCCCTACCTACCCCCCACACACTCCCACCTTCCCACCCTCAAATTCCCACCCACTGGGGAGTCCAGCCTTCATGAGACCAAGGATTTCTTCTCCCACCTATGCCCGACAGGGCCCTCCACCCTTACATATACAGCTGAAGCCATGGATCCCTCCCTAAGTGCTCCCAGGCTGGTGGTTTAGACCCTGAGAGCTCTGGTTGGTTGGTATTGTTGCTCTCTTCATGGGACCACAAACCCTTTCAGCTTCTTCAGTCTTCACTATAAATCCTCCATTGGGAACACCATGATCTGTTCAATGGCTAGCTGTGAGCATCTGCCTCTGAATATGTCAGACTCTTGCAGACCTCTAAGGAGACATCTATATTAGGCTCTTGTCAGCATGCACTTCCTGACTTCCACATCAGCATCTACCTTTGGTGACTGCACATGGGATGGATACCCATGTGGAATGGACTCCAGACGGCCCCTCCTTCAGTTTCTGTCCCACACTTTGTTTTCATATTTGCTCCCTTGAGTATTTTGTTACTCCTTCTAAGGAGAACCGAAGCACCCCCACTTGGTCTTCCTTTTTCATGAGCTTCATGTGACCTGTGAGTTGAATCTTGGGTATTTCAAGCTTCTAGGCTAATATCCAATAGTCAGTGAGTGAATATCATGTGTGTTCTTCTGTGATTGGCTTACCTCACTCAGGATGATATTTTCTAGTTCCATCCATTTACCTAGGAACTTACCTTGAATTCATTGTTTTTAATAGCTGAGTAATACTCCACTATGTAAATGTACCACATTTTTTGTATCGATTCCTCAGTTGAAGGACATCTGGGTTCTTTCCAGCTTCTGGCTATTATAAATAAGGGTGCTGTGAACATAATTGAGCATATGTCCTTGTTATATGTTAGAGCATCTTCTGGGTATAAGCCTAGGAGTGGTATAGCTGGGTGCTCAGGTAATGCTATGTCCAATTTTCTGAGGAACTGCCAGACTGATTTCCAAAGTGGTTGCGCCATCTTGCAGTCCCATCAACAATGGAGGAATCTCATAGTTTTCAATGATCTCCTACATTCTCTTCTTCAAATTAGGGAGAAGGCAAGCCAATATGTCTACACTCTATGCATGGAAGAGGTATTGGTGGCCTGAGGTTCTGATATCTGGAGCACTGCTTGGATTGTAGCTGGAAAACCCTAGTAGGATTGGACTGAGGCTCTGTCTGTGAAACCTGAAGTTGTGTTGTGTTTCTTAGTTCCCTGAAGGAGGCTGGGCATGTATCTCAAGTTGTAGGAGCTTGTTTAACACAAACAGGGCCCCAAGGTTCAATCACAGGACTGCCAAAAAGAAAAAACCGGGAGTAGGGGAGAGGAGAGGGCGAGAGAGTCTTCTGAAAGAAAGTGTTCTAAATTTCATTTGCTGTGAGCTTAGCTGATAATGGGAGAAATTGGTAGTAGGCAAGAGACAGAGTTGATTTCCTCATAGGTATCTGTTCTAGGGATACTGGCCCAGGGTCCTTCTTCCTTCTTCATGCTTTCCTTCCATGCTTTATGCTAATACTCCCTGCTGATGGAGGAAGGGATTGAGCAGGTAATCCACTTTCTTTTTCCGGAGTGTGTGGGAGACTGACCTGAGAAGAGAAGCCAGGGTGTAGGTGGACTGGTCCAACCTGCTTTGCAACTGTGCCTTGGGACAAGCCAGTTTAAGACTTCTACTAAATGCTTTGAGCTCCCTAGCAGGCTGCTTCCTAAGATAGAGTTAACTGCTCCCCAGTATGCAGGAGGCAGGTCCCCTTGGAGAATGTTCTTCCCTTTCTTCATACAATGGGGACCTGTTTGATAATGGAGCCTGCTGTGTGAAGAATCTTATGCAGCTCACTTAGAAACCCCATGGACTGTTCTAGACTAAGTCCACCTTCAGAAAGCTGGACCAACATGGCAACCCTTGATGTTCCATGCCTCTCTCTGTTTTGTCTGAGCTTCCTGACTACCTGGATTCTTGACATCACTGGAAAGCATAACAATGTTATGCGGGCTCTGATTTGAATCAATCCAGTTGGACAGCCTAATCCTGCACAACGAATGGACTATTAGAGACTTGCCTTCTTTTTCTTCAGATCCAGATGATTAGTGCTAATCTTGCTGGAGACATTGCCTATATTGTATGGCCTCCATTGTCACCCCGATGCTCTATTCCTGCTTATAGCTCCTTGAGCTGTCTTTGTTCAGAGAGATGAGCCTATACAGTCTTCCTATGTAGATACTAGGCTTTTTTACTATTTATTTGTTGTATTTGAGCACACAGAAACATGTGTAAGAGATCAAAAAGAGTGAAGGACTTAAAAAAAATACAAAATGTTCTCCATACATGGCTATTCCAGGTTTCGAGGTTTAACCACAACACATCATTGGCAAAAACAGGAATATGACTTTATAGTTATCTATCTATCATCTATCTATCTATCTATCTATCTATCTATCTATCTATCTATCTATC